ACAACACCATGCGTAATATAAGAGTAGTTTACAAATTACAGAGAAATTGCCTTATCAATAAATTTCATTTTCCATACAGTACATGCAAGCATTTCTGTGTGTGTGTCTTCAACTAAATATAACATGCAGTTTCACAAAGATAATACAAAACAAAGAGCTCAATATTAATATTATTAAACACAAAGTCATGACCATGTAGCCATCAAAAAAGCAGTACAATAACCTGAGTAGCATTTTCTTGTCATACCAGTTATAATGCCCTAAAACTTTACCTTAGTATAGCCTGTAAATCCAAGTCTTCTTAAAAAATAAGAAAAGTTTCCAATATCACTCCAATATGTGTCCAGTATTTGTAACAGACCAGGAAGCCCTGATAACAATGTAACACTGACACTCCTTACAACAGCTCCAAGTAAAGTTTTATGTCTCTTCAACCTCTCCCTTCCATAAAAGTGCTGCCACCCCCAATTCATACATTATCATTACACGTACATTCATGTAATAATTAGTTCTTTGCAGTTCACAGCTTTTAACTTGTTTGTAAAACACAGGCAAATCATGCACACCATAAATGTCTTGAAGTATTTTTGAAGTCGTATTTTTGAAGTGGCCATTGAGAAAGACAGCATTTTTCCTGGTTTGATTTCATCAGTTTAAGTGCAGATGTCAACATCCTTTTCTGCTATTTCAGGACCGACAGAGAAAAATATGTTTCTATGGGTCAGGCTGTAAAATGTGAATGATCCTTTCCATAACACCTTGTTTGTGCTCCCTGATTGCATTGTCTATTGTCTTCTCAAGCGTAATAAACATAAAAACACATGCAATAAAGCATGCAGAATTTCAACGCTATGGAAAAACCCCACTTCTCGATCTTGGGCCTCCCTCCTCCAACTCCTCCTGTGAATAAGTGCTGTATTTCCCTGTTCCTCCTATGGCTTGTCTCATGAAGCCCGCAGAGCCTGCCCTCAGCACCTCCATCTCCTCTTTTTCATCCTCATCCTCCCCTTCTAGCTCTTCTTCATCTTCAAGGCTGGAGCTGTGTGAGTCTCCCTGAGGCTTTGCACTGTGCATATCCATCCCATTTCTCTCTGCATCAGTCAGTGGGGAAGTCAGGGCTGCTTGTTCCTTGGCTTTGCGACTTCTCTTCCACTTCATACGTCTGTTCTGGAACCAGATCTTAACCTGATGAAAGAAAACAGAATAATAATAAGAATGGTGGTAAACAAACTTGAACATATCCTGGGGTACTCTTTTGTGAGTAGTAAATGAAAAGAGATCACACTTGAGTTCATATTAAGCTCTACTAAACAGTTGTTTCATGTCATATAAAAAATGAGTACTATTTTCCCACTTTCCCCCTGTGCCCATATACGTGATGAAATATTGGTTTTCAAATGCCCTTATAAGGGAAGTGAGTGAGCTGGAAGTTGTGCAATTTAATAAAGCTATCATCTGGTGAACTCAAGTTTATTTTAAGACAGAAACAATAAGCCTTCATTTAGGTGCCAACAGATCTTGTCTTAGCTGGACAGTAAAAGCCAGATGTGTTTTAAAAATATAACCAACATAATGGAAAGGATGGAAACCAAGGTTTTTCTATTTTTGCATTTTCCTAAATTTAGCAGCTAGAATCTAATCTTTACTCTTATTCACAGCCTTATTATGTGTGTGTGTGTGTGTGTGTGTGTGCGTGTGTCTCACCTGAGTCTCAGTCAGCATGAGTGAAGTGGCCACCTCGAAGCGTTTAGGCCTGGACAGGTACTTGTTGAGCTTGAACTGGTTTTCTAATTCCAGCAGCTGCTGACTGGTGAATGCCGTCCTGGGCCTCCGACACTTTCCCAACAATCCTGCATGGCCTGGAGCTGAGAGCGGCGAAAAACAGGGTGCCAGAGACAAACATTAGCAGAGAGCGGGGTTATTATATGCACTCATCATTATTTACATTTTATCATTAGAACACAATCATCATTTTACTGTTATTATGAACTGTGGGTCTAATGAGAAAGAAGCCTGTAGTAGCCTCAGTGAAAGAAAGAAAAAAGAAGGAAAATATCTGCCCCACAGAACTTCACACTGTTTCAGTTTGTTTTCCAGTTCATTGTTTGGAAGCCACAGGCCTACCTACCTACCTACCAGCCTGTCTTCCTGTCTTCCTGCCCGTCTATCTGTGTTCGTTAACATTTATTGCCCTGATGTGAGGTTGTGGTGAGAGGATATTGCTTTGAAGGAGTAATAAACCATCCCAGAGGTCCATTACCTTAATGAAAACACTATAAATGTTATCAATTGATTAAGTGGTAGGTCTACGTCAAGTGTTACCTTTGTCATAAATGCTGCAGGTTATTTTTATGAGATAGATTGTCCTTAAGCGGCACAGCAGCTCAATGTCACGGCTCTTTGAAAACCAAGATCAAAACACAGGTATTAAAACTTGTGATGACTGGACAGAAACTTGTCAAAAGAAACAACAACAAAAAAACATATATAGTCTTGGTGCAATTAAAAAAAAAGCTCCTGTATCCTGCAATTTTAAAGTTCTTTGAGTTACTTAATAAAAAAGCCTATTGTTAGAAATGTCTTAATAAATTGGAGGAAAAATTAAATAAAAGCAGCTTCCTCCAAATAAAAAAACGTTGCACATAGATTTACTATATATTTATTGTATAGGCCTAATTATTCTATAACATACTATTTACTATATCACTATATATACCCTGATATATTTAATTCAATCTAATTTCCTTTTTCTTATTATATATACATATCCAACTAGTTATCTTGACATTAATGCTGTAGTTTCTCACCTCCATATTCTCCAAATCTGGGTATCATGAACCCGGCTCTGATCCAGGGCTCCAGAGGCAGAGTCCCCGTCATGTTGGCCCCCTTTTGCTGCTCCGTGTACGGCTGCATCAGCTGCGTGAAGCCGGGGTATATGAAGGCGGGGTGCTGGCCTCCGAAGGCCGCCAGAGGGTACAAGGAGCCCGGGTGCATTCCGAGGAGACCCCCTTGGTGCAGAGCAGTGAATCCCGGCTGGGATAAATTGAAGAGCTGGGATTTGGGCAGGAGTCCCGGAGGAGCTGGAGAGGAGTTGGTCGGGTTTGGATGCGGGGAGGGCGTCTCGGAGCCGCGGGTGGACAGCGGACTGTCGCCGGGGCTCCTGCTGTACAAGCCCGGGGACGCACCGTCGCTGTCCGTCCTTTGCTCCGCGTCGTGCGCCAGCAGCGCGTCAATGCAAAAGTTTCTGGATCTCTCCATGATGGAAGTCAGTCTGTCCAAATATATCTCCACTGAGCAGCGGATGATGATGTACCAGAAACTGATCTGTTTTATTTCATATGCAAAAAAATATTAAGTTAACTGAAGAAATAACTTTAACTCTATCTCTAAGCTTTGTGGTTAAACCTCTATCGTCACTCCTCTCCCCTGAAGAAATGTCTTCTGTCTCCACTCCACTTCTGCCATGCGAGTAGAAGACACACACACACACACACACACACACACACACACACACACACACACCACACACACACACACACAGTGGACTGGAAAACCCTCAATAGAGCTATAAAGTCTGCTCCCCTGTGATTGGCCACAGCAGGACAGGGACAGGGTGTAGCCTATTCTTTCCACTCAAGGCTCAATCCATGGACCTCCTTATTAAAGTTTAGTACAATCGCAAATATATA